CGTGGCACGATCGTCACTTTTTCCTTGATCCTGGATGAATTCACTTCAGGTTTCGTCAAGCTAATGACGTAAAATGAGCGCTTCTTGGGAGGCAACCCAAGTGAAATTTATTGCTTTCTTTGTTATTTTTCTTTATGCATTATTAGTTTTTATGTTTGAATAATGGGAGTTTTGGAGTTTCTTGTGGTTTGTCTTCTCAGGGCAATTGAGGTCAGCGTTGAGCATGGGCGAAGGCCTTGAACGTGAACGCTTATTCTCCTCGAGGCACTCCCGATTTGCACACCCTTTCCTTTTCTTTATTTCTCTTTGTTTTGTTTCTTGTTGGTTGATCATGTAGTACAACTCTCTGGCCCTTAAGACAGACAATGGGGACATTGTCTGCTTTAAGTGTGGGGGAGTTTTTGCATGCTTGTGTGGCTGTGTGGTTGCTCAGGTCTAGTATTTATTTTAAGTTTTTAAGATGTTGTATTTCTCGAGCTTGGGCTGTGGTGTATGGTATGATTGGTTGATGATTAATTGATTGGGTTGAGAAGTTGTGATGATGAGCATATGAGGCACATTTTGATGAAGTTATTTGGCCGTTTTAATTGACATGATTCACCTTGTGAGGTTTTGAGCCGTGCTTGTTTTTCTTGTGAGATATTGGTCGATTTTTTATTCAATATGATTTTGCCTTGAGTCTTCTTTGAAATGGTTGATTGGATTTGTGAATGGTGAACATGATGAAGGCATTTTTTTTGTTTTTATTTCCTTTCCCTTCATCAGATAATAATTCTCGCTAATCGCCCCGTTGAGCCTTTTGTGATTTTTCTTTGACAACCTCTTATTGAAGTCGCTGAGGATTGATATGTTTTGAGGGACGATTATTTGAGTTTGTATATATTGATGCTTGGAGTTGTGTTAAAAAAAAAAGGTGTAAACCGATTGGATTATACTCCAAGTACTCCAATAACTAAAATAGTGGTTGTGAGTAATGAGTACGGGAAACCGATCTAGGAGACTCGGATAGAAAACCCGAAGGCAAAACCTAGATAATATGTCCATAAGGTTGACACGCGAAAAAAAAAAAGAAAAAAAGAAAAAAGAAAAAATCTGAATAATGTTGGGAAGTATGTTGGCTAAGGAGGAGTGAGGAGTTCATGATCTCGGTTGAGTAATGGAGTTGAGTTGTCATACATTGAGCCACTTAACCATATTTATCCTGCCCAGTCCAAATAGCCTACGTTACAACCCTTTAAGTCCTCCTGATTCATTGATTCACTAATTTGATTGATTTAGAATAAGAGTTAGATGATAGGCGAATTTATTATTGATTTGATTGATGACCAATTTGAGTGATCATGTTTGATATCTCGGAAAGAAAATACGTAAGGCACATTTGATATATTCGGTACTCGAGAGTTCATGTCTGTCAAAGCTTAATAGCCAAGCTAGTAGTTGAGGTGTGCACATATTATCATTGGAATTCTTCTTGATTTGGTTGATTGATTTGAACTAGTCTTGCCGGTAGCTGTGATCCTTGCTCGTTTATTTTGTTTTGTTTTCTTTTGTTTTTGTTCGGGACGAACAAATGTTTTAGTGTGGGAGAGTTGTTTGTCCCATTTTTGTGTCATTTTTAGTCATTATTTTACCGTTCTTTTTACCCCGTATTGAGTGGTTTATGTGGTTTTAGGATCTTTTTGTCATTTATTATGTGTTTTGCGTTCATTTGAGTGTTGCGGTGTTTTCCTTTTGTTTTTCGGTCTTTTTCTGTTCTCTTTTCATTTTTGGTGTGTAGTTTGGAGACCCCGAGAGAACAGGTTTTCGAGAATCTTTTGGGGAAGATGACACCATTAGAAAGACGGGCTCGTTAGCTACGCGTAGGAAAAAACGGAACTTAATTCCGAGTCCGAACGAACCCGAAAGAGCAAAAATCGTAAAGTCGTGCAGTGCAATCCAGTTTTCTTCGCCGCGGCCGCGACCTCTTTCTTCACCGCGGCCGCGGCGAACAAAAAGCTGCCAACGCCCAACCTTCTGCGGAAAAATGTCGCGGCCTCGGGAATAGTCGCGGCCGCGGAGCCTTTGCTCACCGCGGCCGCGGAGGGCGCGCGGGACAACTGCCCAAATCCAGTTTTTCACGGTTTTTCTCGGTTTTGACCCCGGTTTTCGAGCATTATAAAGGTAGAATTGTTCCGGGACTTAGGATAGACCGGAGTAGGGCTAAAAACCCTCGCTCTAAAACTCTCCCTCTCCCTCTTCTTCTTCACTTTTTCTTCTTCTTTTTCTTCTTAATTTCTCCATATATTTTCATGTTTTCTTCTTCATCTTGCATTAGGATCAAGCTTGTAATAAGGATTCAACTCTTGACTGAGGTTTATTGTAAGAATTTCTTCTATTTCAATTCATGAAAAATAGTTGTTTTTGAAGAAATAATTATGTGTGTTGAATTCCTTTTACGTAGCTAAATCTCATTGCTAGGGATAGGGGATTGATGTTCTGAATTCAATTGTGATTGTTGAGCTTGTTGATTATTCAATTCATGTGAGTTGTCCTGATTAGGGTTTGATGAGATTGTGTTTGAATGATGAAAATTATTGAAGGAGTGACACTTCAATTTTCAGTTACTTGTTGATTGGGGTTTGATTCATTCTTGCATATTTGTGTTGATCCTTTTGTTTAGATTGATTAAAACCCATCTAGGCTAATTAATTGACTCATTGAATCGAAAGAGGATGAGTCGATAGACCATGACTCATATAAAATTGGCTTGTTCGTAACTGTATTGTCAATGTGTTAAAAGGCTCATTGATTTATCGTTCATGTTCAACCTCTTGTTACGAAAAGTTATTGAGGACGAATCTCTTAACGAATAAGTTACCAATTCCTTTTAACTGAATGATCTCTTGCTCGACACTTGCTCTTTGAACCATAACGGATATCCCCGACTCCCTAGCTTCTTTATTGCTTTTCAATTTGCATTTTAGGTAGATTTATTTTCATGCTTTCCCTTAGTTAATTATTATCTCAATCATCTGATTTAGAGTGTTTAGGGTTATTTTCTCTTCTTGTGTTATCAACACCTTTGCTAAATTCCGAACCGCCTTCCTCGAGAGATCGACCCGGGGAACGAATCTTTCGATTCGGTACTCGGTAAAAAAAAAATAACAATTTGTGCTACAACAATAATCAAAAAGATCTTTTTTTTTCTTTTTCTTTTTTCCCTTTTTGGCATTAATTTTGCAAAATATACTTGATCCATAATGGTTGCATGTGAGGAATCTTTACCGTGGGATGTATTATCCATGCAATTAATTATTATTTTTTATTTTTAATACATGCAATTTAGAAGGTAAATTTAGAATGCATTAATTACCTTTGACTTTTCTTCCTACTAATTTTAGTAAATGAGATGCCTTTTTATATAAGTATAGATTATATAAATCTCCAAATGTGTAATGAAATGATATTAGAGAGTGAAAAAGTATTAAATTAATAAACATGGATTGACATATTTAAAAATAGAAAAGAAATCAAGTAGAGACCGAACATACCTAAACAAATGTCCCAATAAAATTTTATACCAAGAAAATTTTGGTCACTTCATGTAAAAAATTGAATATTTCAATAAAATTTCACACCGAAAAAATTTCGCTCACTTTATACCATAAATTATTTTATTAAATTTTCTATAAAATATATAAGTTTTTTTTTTTTCGAAAAGCAATACTATTTTAGGAATATTTCTTTTGATAGATATAAATATTACTAAAACTATCTAAAAAATAATTGAAATGTAAAATAAAATCTTCTAAGCACTAGACATGGCCCGGCCCGGCCCAGCTCGGCCCAAAGACTCAATTGTTAGGCCCGCGACCGGCTCGGCCCGGCCCAGCGGTTCGTTAAATAAAAAATAAATAAAAAAAAACACTATGACTCGTCGGGAAAACTGGAATCGGGCCCGAAACCAGCCCGGCCCTGCGG